AGGGACCAAAGTACACTGCTGAGGGGAGCAGCGGGCGGCAGGAGAGGTCTGCGCGCCATGTGGGACCCTCCTCTGGTGGCCGGGGAGCAGCCGGGGATCGAACCGGCGCCGCAGAGGCTGCGGGCAGCTTCGCAACCCAGCGCTCAACCGCTGTGCCACTGGGGAGGCCCCCATATTTCTTTTTTTTTTTTTTCATATTTCTTTTATCATTATTTACTGAGGTTGGAAGGAGAAAGGGAGACTGAATTGCTCATCATCACTTCCCCATATGCCGTGAGCTCTGCAAGATCAAGGACTTGCTTATGATGACATTTCTATCTCCAACAAACAAGATAGTACATAGGCAGTGACTGGTCAACACATTTTTGATGGATGAGTTAAAAGGACAAAGGGGATACATTTTTCCATGGTGCTTAATAGGTAGGGCCAAACAGCTTCTAATCCAAATAAAGAGCGTCGGCCTCCCGGGTGGGGCAGCAGGTTGAGTGCCACGCTGTGAAGCATCCCTTTGCAGTGTGGGTTCGATTCCCAGCCAACCAGGGAGAAACCCACATGGCGTGGCAGACCTCTCCTGCCTCGCCTGTTGCTCCCCTCAGCAGTGTCTTTGGTCCATCTGCCTGTTCTGTTACCCACTCTGTCTCTGGTGTATTCTCTCACCCTCCCGCATCTCTGGTCTGTACCCCAGTTCTTGCATAAATAAGTAAATCTTTAAAAAAAAATAAAGTGTCAAAACTCTACAGGTTAACTAAAAGAATGAGAGCCACAGGAGGGTGGATGATCAAGCACTTACTTGCTGAGTTGGTAATCAGTGCCTTTGACGAATCTGAGCTTCTCCAAGGGCACACCAATGCTCTCCAGCATTGCCTTGATCACATTCTCATAGTAGCTGGTTCGGAGTTCTAGAAGTTCCCATGGGGCTTTCATGTTATCCAGGTATGCATGAAGGTCCGCAAAAAGAATGGTTACCTGGACACGGGATAAGGTAATTCACCAAGATGTGAATTTATCCGAGTACTTCCAAACCCCCTCCTGGCACCCTCTGCCCACTGCCCCAACTTGTTAAGTCTTTCTTTTGGCTGTTCCTGCTGGAGTCCAGCTCCAGCTAAGGTAGGGTACACGAAGGAAAGAATAGCGTAGGCGAATGAGGAGACACAGACACTTGATCAGGTGGCAAGCATCTCCTGCTGATAGCCTCAGTGGGGCTTTATTTATACATTTTTTATTTCCTTTTTCTTTCAGTTTCTTTCACAGCATGTGCACTTGTGGTTACAATTTTCTCCGAAACATCTTACATCATTGTTTAACAAAAGTACACCATCTAGGGCCTCCCCGGTGGCGCAGCGGTTGAGCACTGGGTTGCAAGGCTGCCCACAGCCTCTGCAGCGCAGGTTCAATCCCTGGCCGCCAGGCAGGGGTCCCACATGGCGCGCAGACCTCTCCTGTCATGCCATTGCTCCCCTCAGCAGTGTGTTTCGTCAGTCTGCCTGTTCTGCTCCCCGCTCTGGCTCTGGTGAATTCTCTCACCCTCCCGCGCTTCTGACTGTACCCAGTGCTTGTATGAATAAACAAATAAATCTTTAAAAAAAAAAGTACACCATCTACTTTTACTTTTTCTTCATTCTGGTCAACTTGACCTTCGTTCTGGTCAACTTGACCTTATTAATTTTCCTATAATCTTAACAACTTGAAGAAATGGGCAAGGGTGCTAGACAGAGCGTGTCCTATGTGGTTATACAAGCTAAGCTAGGTGAATAAAGGTTAAGAAGGTTAAGCAAGCATTGTGAATAAATGGCAAACCTCAAAACTACCTATTGTTCCTAAGTTAAAAAGTTACTTATCTTCTTTTAACCCAGCTCACATACTTTATGAGCCATCTACTAACATTCTATGACAATAACTACATTTAATTTTATCTAGATACCTATTCCACCTTGTGGCGGTATGGCGCCTGGCTTCCTGACTCATGAGACACCAAGGGGGGCCTGACCTTTTTATTCTCTCCCATAAAGAAACTAAGGAAGCCAACACATTTGCACCATTAATTTTGAACCATTTGTTCACATTTTCATCATAAATTCCAGTATAAGGGATGGGTGGGATAGGAGTAAGAAAATCTATTTTACTCATAGACTTGCCTCGAGGGGGATACCAAAGGTGGCCTCCTATTTTATGCGCAGGGCCAAAAGGCCCCCAAACTGTAGGAACAATATGTGGTGTTCCTTTTCTTGGATCTTGTCATTTTAGGGGAGCCTTAGGGCTTTTCTCAGTGGGGACCTCCACCGGGCTTGGTTCCAATAGCTCTTTTTTCTTTTTTAAAGATTTATTTATTTATACAAGATTTATTTATTTATTTATACAAGAACTGGGTTGCTCCGTGGCCAGTGGGGATCGAACTGGCGCTGCAGAGGCTGCGGAGAGCTTCACAGCACTGCGCTCAACCCACTGCGCCACCAGGGAGGCCCTGGTTCCAGTAGTTCTTTCAAGTGTAATTTGTTAAAGAATTTAGCATTGCTCATGGCAGATGACTTACAAATCGGGGGACATTGAGAAATATTGGAAATCGTCTCATTACCAATTATATTGGAATGGACATCACTCAGATTATTGGACTATACAGCACTGAAATTGGCATTGATGTCATCATTCATTTTGTTATTCTGAAGCCCATAGAAAATTCCCATAATTGCAAGAACTGCCATAAACAAAATGAAAGGAAGTAGCAGGAGCCAGCTGCGGAGCCTCCTGATTTTCAAGAATTTCCCCCACATTTGGACTTAGTCACACAGCATGAGTACCCTGGCTTGCACCAGTTCCCCAAGGGCAACTGCTTGGTTTATGACATTCATTCTTACCTCACAGCCTGCTTTCAGGAAATCTGCAATCTTAGACATAGGCACGAAGTAAGCCACATGAGGCTTGCCTGTGGTGGCTGTTCCCCAGTAAACTTTAAGTTCCCGCTCCTTCAGTATCTCCTTCAACTTCTCTTCCCCCAGAACCTCCTGTTGTGGAAGCAGAAGAGCTGGTTTAATGTCGGTGCCCCACCTTGCTCATCCTTTACCCTGTGACAAGGAAAACAAAGGTATGTGTCACTGAGGGGCCAGGCTAAAGGCAGCAGGGAGGTCCAGCCATGCTCTCAGTGCTGAGTGAAAGCCAATGCAAATAGGTACTGTTGCTAGTCCACTGCAGTGAGATGTCAGGGGACTGGGACATGTTCCTAACTGCATCTTCACCCCCAACTACCTCTAATTCCTGTGCCTTCCTTTCATAGTTGTCTCTGCTTCTGGTCTCTATTCCTTATCTCCCATGCTATCAATAGTTTGAGTTCCACACAGCATCACTCTTATAAGATCACAGATGACCTTGTGTTGCTAAGTTAGATGAGTGATTTTTAGTTCTGAAACACTGTCCTCCTCTTTTGGTCTCTGTTTTACTAGTTTCCCTCCTACTTCTCTGGCTGCTGGGTCTCATATTTCTTTGCCGCTGTTCTGCTTCTTCTTCATCATTAGATATTAGCAGTCCTTAGGGCCTTCTTTCTTCTTTTCTTACTCTATATACTCTCCAACTGATCCCCTTCAGCTGCTTTAGTAAGTTCTTATAAGTTAGAAACTCACAAATCTGCTGACCCATAAATAGAACTGTGTACTTATCAATCCAGTGAATTCACACTCAAGTAATCAAAATTAAACTCATGTTCTTGCTTTCCTACCTGACTCTCCATTTTTTCACTTATGGTTTCACCCCAAATCTGTACATGGTACTATCATTCACTAAGTTGTAAAAGTTACCCCAAATGGCCCTTCTACTTCTCTCCATCTCTATACCACCACCCTAGCTTAGGCCACCATCAAATCACATCAGGATTACTATAATAGCTTAACAGTCTTCTCTCTGAATCATATCTAGTCTTGTTCTCGCCTATGTTCTAAAAGGTAACCAGAAAGAGTTAAAACCCCAAATTTGATGTTGCTGATAAAACAGAGTTTAACATCTCTTCAAGTGGTGGTTTGGGATACTGCTGGAAGTCTGGATAGAGAAAAATTGTTTTGCTGGTTTGACAATGATTTATAAACAGGACTTGTTAAAAACCTGTGTAACAAGTTGTTTGGATGCTGATCGTGCATCCTAGGAGTCTCTGATTATTTGGACACTTGGAAAGCCCTCATCATCCAAGGAAAGGCCAGATGACTTACCCTTTAAAACCTGAGTGAGTCAACACTACTAGCTTTGTGCATTCTTTGTCTTCAACCAGCACTCTTTTATGGAGAGAGGCTAGGAAAACAAAGGATGTGGCATGCAAATTTATGGTTAAGATCAAGTTGAGAGTGGAAATAACCCAAATGTCTATCCACTGTTAAGTGGATTAAAAAAAGGTGCTATAGTTATATAATGGAGTATTATTTGTCCATATAAAAAGCAATAAATTTCTGGTAGGTGAAATAACACGGATGAACTTCGAAAACATGTTAAATCAAAGAAGTCAAATACAGAGCCTCCCCGGTGGCGCAGTGGTTGAGCGCTGGGTTGCGAAGCTGCCCGCAGCCTCTACAGCGCTGGTTCGATCCCCGGCTGCTCCCCGGCCACCGGAGGAGGGTCCCGCATGGCGCGCAGACCTCTCCTGTCGCCCGCTGCTCCCCTCAGCAGTGTACTTCGGTCCTTCTGCCTGCTCTGCTCTCCGCTCTGGCTCTGGTGAATTCTCTCACCCTCCTGTGCTTCTGACTGTACCCAGTGCATGTATGTATAAATAAATAAATAAATCTTTTAAAAAAATAAAAAAAAAAAAAGAAGTCAAATACAACGCTATATGGTAAGATCCATTTATATGAAATGGTCAGAAGAGGGAAAAACATAAAAACAAAATAGGTTACTGTTTCCTTAGAGAGGGGGTGGGGAAGAAATGGGCCCTGATTCCTAGGTTTATTTTTGAGGCAATGAAAATGTTCTGGATTTAGTTAATGGTGATAGTTGCCAACCTTATAACTACAATAAAACCCACTAAATTGTGCACTTTACAAGGGTGAATTTTATAGTATGTGAATTCTATCTTTAAAAAAGGAGCCAAAAAGTTGTGGTCCAACCACAGTATCAGTGCTCTTAGATTGCTCAGTTCACATTTAAACACAGACTGCAAGGCATATATGACTTGGTCCCTCCTAACAAATCCCTCCTCAACGAACAAATAAAATAGGGTTATTTAAAATAATGATCAGAAAAGACCTTTCTGATGTGATCATAGTCAAAGGCCTTAAGAAGGCAAGACAGGAACGAACAATATAAATATTTATGAAGAGTCTGATCTGCACTTTTTTCACTCTATTCCTGTCAAATTAATCTCTCTGAAACAGTGTTCTTTCTCCTAGGTTCCTTCTACCTGAAATGCTTTCCCATTCTTTCTCTGGTTAACCCATACTCCTGCAGTTCCTGGCAAAATAGCAGGAACATCTGTGGAGTGAAGAGGGGTTCCGCATCCTTCAGGGCACAGTCTAGAGAGCACTTCCTCCGCCTGCTTTGACACTCCCCCTGGGCTCTCCCCAATTTCCTCTCAAAGTTCAACTTGCAATACCTTCCAGTACTTGCTTCTGCTGTAATTGTTTGGATTATGGGTCATTTTCAACATCTGAGCCCCTCTAGACAAGTTCTGGGGGCGCAAGGCTCTGACGCGGCTAGCAGGCGGCCAGGGACATTATAGGGGGGTGGGGTAGGAGTCCAGGATTCCAAGCCTGGCACAACACAAGGTAATGATCCCACTGTGATTTCTGTGGTACCCAGTCAACTGCTGCTTGGGCGACTGACTGCCTGACGACCGGCAGCGAGGACTGCAGTCTCTCTCGGAGCTGCCTCGACCCCACCCGACTGGACACCGTGGTGGGGCTCAGGGTCACCAGACCTCAGGCCCCCGGTCCCCGACCGCGCATTTCTAACCCCGAGGCTACCCTGACCTGCAGGTTCCGGGTGATAAGGTGCAGCTTCTCTTCGGGGCTCGGGACGTCCCCCATGGCTCAGCCGCTGTCTCTCGCGCTCAACCCGGCACCCGCACCCCTTCCTCCTCGCCGTCGCCGCGTGCCGTGAACTGTCACGCGGGCCCGGTTAGGTTGCATCAGCTGAGCTCGTCGCTCGGCTAGCTCGGCCTGGACCCTTCTCAGCCAAACAGTAGCCCGGCAAGTCAGGAGCAGTAGAGAGTCGAACTGGTCGATGGGACCGGAGGGGTGGAGCCGGTGGGCGGGGTAAGCGATGCGGAGGGCGGGTTTGCGGCGCCTACGCGAGGCACCACCCCCCGGGAGGCGGGGCATCTTCCTGCCAATCACTGCTTGTTTGCCCTCCCCCAGGTGCCGGCCCGGCTGCCTCAGGGTGGGGGGAGGTCGGGGAGGGGGCGATAAAATGGCGCAGGGGGCGGAGTGAGGCGCAGTCGCTCGCCCAGGCTTCGGCCCGGCTTCCGGAGGTGAAGAGCGGGAGGGGCGTGGGGGTCGGCGCTCCTCGGCCGGGAGCGGGTGGGGGCGCCTGTTGCTTCTCCAGGGGTCCGCGCACGCCGTCCGCCCAGTCGAGGGGTTGAGAGGCCCTCACCCTGCTGGGAGAAGGGCTCGCTCTGGTTCCTGAGGTGATGGCGGCCGGAGGGGGGGAGTGTCCCTGCCCCCAGCTACACGTCGGGGGAGAGGGGCGGGGGATGCCCGCCACCCGGCTGAGGAAAAGGGCGGCTGTCTAGTCACCCGAGAGGAGGGGAGCGACTCGTGTTCTCCCGCCCGGGGGCCGGGCGTGCTGTGGAGGCGGCTGGGGATGCCCTGCCCCGGCCCCGGCCCCGCGCGGGGGTATCGCCCGAAGACGCGGCGAGGGGGCGAGCGCCTGACCCGCCCCTCGGAGAGCCGGGCCCGACTGAGGTGCGGGCGTGGGCGTCCCGCCCTGGAAGTGGGGTGCCGGGCCTGGGCTGGTGGGGGTGGTGTTGCCCCTCTGGGGGAGGGGCGGCCGCCAGCCCGCGCTTCTGCCGCCTTCCGCGGGGTGGCGGGAATTCTTGGGCTTTTCTGAGCCGGGAGGTGGGAACCGCGAAGGCCCTGCCCCGCGGCCTTCGCTGTTCCGAAGCTGAGTGGGGGAGGCCGAGCAGGGTCCTAGGGGGCTGGACCTGGGCCACCCGTCTCCAAGCCCGTCAAGGGCTGCGCGCACCCCCAGTTCCCCCCGGGGCAGGAGTGGAGCAGTTGCCCCCGCGGGGAGACCCCGGGGGAGGGGGCCAGACGTGCTCGCATTTGCTCCCCGACTGCTCCAACCTAATCTCCACTTTCTTGTGAGGTTCCAAGCTTGACTTGATCCAAATTGTTGAGGAAAAAAAAAATCAAAACAACAAAACAACCATTTTCCTAAAAAGAAAAAGAAACCTGTTGCTGCGGTTTAGTAATAATTTGGTTTTCGATGCCCTTGTGAGAGAGTCCTGGCGCCCTTAACCAGTGAAATGTTACCTAAAGCAGAGATACCCAGCCCTGGGTTCTTTTTCTGTACGACAGTGTGTCCTGCTACCCCAAATTCTTCCAGATAATTTCAGTTCACTTTGTTTAAACGGTATCCCCATTTTCGGTGTGATGAAGCCTGCTGAATGCCTTTTGTGCAGTGTGCCCCACATGGGTTGCGTGCGGGAAAGGTCGAAGGCTATTAGGGAAGCCCTGGCCATTGAAAAGAATTCTTGTCTTTGGTCATACCTGTCAGATCCAGTTCAGTAGTGGTCTTGATAGGGGGGTGTGGGGTTGCGTCTGGTGTTGCATTTTGAGTGGCCTGAATGCAGTAAGACTTCCTGCACTAAAGCAATCGGTTTTCTTAGGTATGATAAAAATAGAAAGACAACCGGTTTCTGAGGTTGCAACTAGGAGGTTAGAGAACAGAGCGAGGGGGTGGTAAACTGAAGTGTGAAGAGGGGGGTGGACAGGTGAGAGAGACATGGAAGGACAGAATAGGGTCACAGAAGGGATGGGGGAGCAGGGGAATTAAGAGATAGGTTTGGGAGATGGGAAAAATATTCTTCCCTTAAAAATAAAGAGGTCCTCATATAATAAAGGTAATTATAAAAATAAAGATAATTTATGAAAATAATAAGGAGGTGGAGGTTACAAAGCAAGTGCCAAAAAAGGCAGCTGATGATGGCAGAATGGCAGACATAGAAATATTAAGGCTGTCTTGTGAACTTAAGAGCGTCAATTTTTATCTAAGATTCCCCCCCACCCCTTGCTTTCATTAGTGTTGGGTTTTAGGTTGAGAGTGTTTCACAAACACTCTTTTATTTTATCATAATCTGTGTTGGACTTTAATGGTGACTAATTTATCCCCCTGTTTTTCAGATGAGTATTCTCATCTGCATTGAGGTTCAGACTTAAAGTGAATTGCTCTCTGGGTTTTAATGCCTTTATACAAGATGCTTCAGTTGAGATCATTAATTTGCAGAATTTTCCCGATATTTTAGAGAGCCCTACAGCCTGGTCTTTAGTGACAATATGATTGAGTGCATACTTAAACTGAAGAAAATAAAGCATTCTGGATAATTTCTTAAGGACTAGGGGCAGTTCCCTACCATTACTATGCTGCTGTTGCCATTCTTCAGGGGTGAGGGCGGTGATGATGGAAGAGTGAAATAACTATAGCTATCACCCCTTTGTGGAGCAGCACGAGGAGTGAGTTTAGAAAGTTGAAGGGCTAGGAAAGCGCCCTCTGACAGGGAGGGGGCCCAACTGGGTTGCCATAGAAACACATGTCCAGGGTGCTTTATACTTAATATTTGGGGAGGTAGCTTACTAGAGGTCCTCTTTCTATTGAATACAGAAATGGGGAAGTGCTGGTTAAAGATTAATATGCAGCTAGGAAGGCGGGACCACCATTTCCCCCTGCTAGCCTCAATAAGAGGGCATTTTAGACTGTCTCCTGTTTGAGGCACAGGGCCAGTAATTTTCCACTCTCCTTGGGGCCTCTACCCTGTTCCACCTAATGGGAATCTGTCTCATAGCCACCATTATTTAGCTTTTGTGCCTGTAGAGTGCTTAGTGCTATATATTCATGATGTCATTTAATTCTTACAACAACAACCCTGCCAGGTCTCATTTTTATAGGGGAAGGCATTTGAAACTTCATGTAATCATATCTTTCTCACTGACTCCTTAATTAAATAAAGTTTTATGAAGTATAAAAAGTTATAAAAATTACCATAATAAATACTATTATATCCATCACCCAGCTTTATCTTATGTTACCATATTTGATTTGTTAATTTTTTTAAGAAATAAAACATTACAGATAGAATTGAAGCTACTCATAGCCCCTTTCACATTCCTCTCCCTCTCTACCACCATATGTAACCACTATTCTGCATTTGGTATTTCTTATTCTTATGCATATTTTTATAATTGAAAGATGTACATATGTATCCCTATACAATATGTGGTATGGTTTTCTTTGACAAGTAAATTGCAAAGAAATAAAGGTTGGACATCTACATTAAAATACACTCAAGATACAGCAGCCAGTCATAATGTACGGACCTTATTTATATACATTTTTTAAAATCTTAACTATCACACAATTGGAAATTTGAACTACATGTTTTATAATTAATTCTTTTTATTTACAGATGAGATGATATGATTTGCTTCAAAATAATCCAGTAAAGGAGGGAGGTGGATGGGGTAAGATTAGCTATGGGTTGATAGTTGTTGGGGCTGTATGAGGGATATGTGGGAATTTAGTATATTATGTTATTTTTTGTATATGTTTAAAATTACAATAGAAAGTATTTTTTAAATGAGGAAATTGTGAGAATGATTTATGCAAGTTAAAATTTATGTATTTATGGTATTGTTTTGCATGCTTTTGCTCCCAGACCTATTGGAACATTTTATGAGAGAAACTCAGGAGAACCAGCTCTGTGCTTCTAGATCTTGTGCGGCATAGCAATTGGTGTTTGCAATAACTGTAAAGAATATTGGTTCTTTCAGTACACAGCAAAGCTTGCAAAGTAATGTTTTTCTTGCAGTGAGCTTTGAGCATAGTCTGGTATTTCCATTTGGGAAGTCACAGAAAGCCTGTGCTTAAATTGTATAGTAAGGTAGTTTAAAATATTTTTGCCAAAGCTTTTTGCAGTGTCTTTCACAGTATATTCGAGTGTACTGAATGCAGAAAGCATTGCCATTTGCTGACTGACCCTGGGCAAGTCTGTCCCAAGGGTGGTTTAAAAAAAAAAAAAAGAAACAACAATGCCTTTGGAATTAGACCTGGGTTTGTATCCTTGTTCTAATATTATTGGTTCTAGTGCCTTGCATCTTAGTTTTCGAACTCTTCATTTGGTGAAGCAAGTACTTGGACTAGACCTTTGAAAGGAGTGAGAGTGGGGGTAGTGGCTCAGAAAGGTTTCTGAGACATTGTAGCTGCTTAACCCCAGTGTCTGTGATACTTGTGCTTGACTACCTAAGACATTAAGAAAAAATTTTCCAAAAGTAAACTTTTTAAAGACTTATTTATGCATACAAGAACTGGGATACAGTCCAGAGATGGGGGTGGGGGTGGGGGTGGGGTGGGGGTGGTGGTGGTGGTGGTGGTGGTGGTGAGAGGAATCACCAGAGACAGAGTGGGGAACAGAAAAGGCAGGCTGAAATACACTGCTGAGGGGAGTAGTGGGCGAGACAGGAGAGGTCTGCTTCGGGGATTGAACTCGTGTTGCAGAGGCTGCCGATTGCTTCATAGTGCGGTGCTTAACCCCTTGTGCAATCAGGGAGGCCCCAAAAGTAAAAGAAAGAAACAGATAAAGAAATAAGCTAAAGAAATAAAATAAAGAAATAACTTCACTCTAGAAAATAACCCAGTCACTGGGCAGAGAAATTTCCTCATCATAGAGATACCTGTTTCATTGCTTGGAACTCTTACAGTAATTGTTAAGGTATTGATTTAAAAGTCTTAGCAGTTTTTAGTTTAAATAACAGAAAGCTTAGTTCCTTTGATAAGGTTCATGTTACAGAGTTATGTTAATGAGTTAAAAGAATGTATCTCAGGGCCTCCCCGGTGGCGCAGCAGTTGAGCGCTGGGTTGTGAAGCTGCCAGCAGCCTCTGGAGCGCCGGTTTGATCCCCAGCCGCCAGATGAGGGTCCCACAGGGTGTGCAGACCTCTCCTGCCTCCCGCTGCTCCCCTCAGTAGTGTACTTGTCACTCTACCTGTTCTGCTGTCTGCTCTGGCTCTGGTGAATTCTCTTGCCCTCCCGTGCCTCTGACTGTACCCAGTGCTTGTATAAATAAATAAATAAATCTTAAAAAAAAAAAAAAAAAAAGAATGTATCTCACAGTGCCTGATTTATAATAGGTACTTAATATTTCTGCCCTTTCTGTCACATCTCATTTCTAAGATGATTATCGAGGTCCCTTTTTATTTCCCCCCCTTTTTTTTTAATACTGTGGTTTCCTTATTTATTTATTTATTTATACAAGCACTAGGTACAGTTAGAAGCACGGGAGGGTGAGAGAATTCACCAGAGCCAGAGCAGGGAGCAGAACAGGCAGAAGGACTGAAGTACACTGCTGAGGGGAGCAGCGGGTAGCAGGAGAGGTCTGAGCGCCACGTGGGACCCTCACCTGGTGGCTGGGGATTGAACTGGTGCTCTAGAGGCTGCGGGCAGCTTCACAACCCAGCGCTCAACTGCGGTGTCACCAGGGAGGCCCTTCCTTTTTTTTTTTAAAGATTTATTTATTTATGCATACCAGAGGTGGGGGGAGGTGAGAGGATTCACCAGAGACAGAATGGGGAGCAGAACAGGCAGATGCACTGAAATACACTGCTGAGTGGAGCAGCAGGTGAGTCAGGAGAGGTCTGCTGCCCCATGTGGGTCACCTCCCTGGCCCAGGATTGAACTCATGCTGCAGTGGCTGCTGAGAGCTTCATAGTGCTGTGTCTTAACCCCTTGTGCCACCAAGGAGGTCCCCCCCTTTTTTCCCTTTATAATCTCTAGTTTATTGAGATATAATTGACATATAACTTTGTATTTTAGGTGTACGACATAATGATTTCATAGATATATTGCAAAATGATTATTATCACAATAAGTTCAGTTAATGTACATCACTTCACATGGTTATTTTTTTCTTGTGATGAGAACTTTTAAGATCTACTCTTAGCAGCTTTCAAATATAAAATACTGTAGTCCCCATGCTATATATTACATCAGTACCTTCTAATTCTAAAATCATCTATTCCCTTCTAGCTCATGAGTATTTTTTTGCCCTATTTTATATTTTCTCATATTGGTACTTAAATTTTAATGTTGTCTCCCTAGCAAATTATGTATTCCTTGAGGGTGGTGGGTACCATATGTTTATTTCTTAGAAATCATATAGAGACATTATCTAGCTCAGCTCTGTGTGATGATAGTAGCTCAGAAAATGTTTCCTAAAAGAACATATGAAATAAAGCTAAAATTCAGGGTGTAGTATAGAGGAAAATGGTATGGGGAAAAATTTGTAGTTAAAAGGTTTTCTAAATTATTGAGTTCAGTGTTTAAATATTTTTTTTTTAAGGATTTATTTATGCATGCAAGAGCTGGGATGCAGGTCAGAGATGTGGGGGGATGAGAGGTTTCACCAGAGACAAAAGTGAGGAGCAGAATAGACAGATGTACTAAAATACACTGCTGAGGGGAGCAGCGGGCAAGTCAGGAGAGGTCTGCTGCCCCATGTGGGTCACCTCACTTGCCGGGGATCGAACTCGTGCTGCAGTGGCTGCAGATAACTTCATAGTGCGCATCTTAACCCCTTGCGCCACAAGGAGGGCACCATTTTTTATAGCTGCTTAGATGTTGACATGTGATATATGCAATATAAGTGTTCTGTCCGCTTTCACACCCAGAAAATAATTATACATTGTCTATCATTAACTGTTTTAAATACTTAGCTGTTTTAATTATACGTGTAATAGATAAATATTCAAATGAAAAGTAAAATGATATTAAAGTGTCCTCTTGACCTCTTTCCATCCTTTTACAGGTATAACAGCCATCAGTTTTGTGTTTATATCTTTCCAGACCTTTCCTTTGCATTTATATGTGTTGAAAATGAGACTCTTGTGGTCATGATTAACTTGTAGATTGGTGGGATCTTAGACACCACCTATTCTTTCCTCTCCACCCCCTTCCCCATTTTAGAAGTAAGGGGAAAAATTGAAATGCTTAAGTGGCTTGTGCAAATTATTACAGCTGGTTAGTGACAACCAGGACTACAAACTAGGTCTTTGGACTCAAGCAGTATTCATCCTACTAGAGCAAATGATATTCTTAAGAAAGTACAAATTGTTGGGAGGAACAAAATTAGTTCCTTAGTTGCATAATTTTTCCTCTAAAGGTTTTTCTTTGATGTTCTTGACTCAAAATCCAACTTTCTGGTATTTAAAATAAAATCAAGATGAAAATTAATAGATGGAACACCTTAAAGCATAATACAGTTGACTTTGTAATTAGCACAGTTGAAAGTGATGAGAAGATCCTCTAATTTTCTCTGTGCCTGCAGGAAGGTGGGAGTCAATCATTTTGACAAGTCTCCTGAAAGGAACAGCTAGCTGGAGCTGAAACCTTTTCCCGTTTGGTCTCGTGGCAAAGGCAAAGATCACGCCAACAGCTCTACACAGTATGAAAGCTATTTCTTTATCTTGTATTCTGTTTTTTTTTGAATTTCAAAAGTAATACAAACCTGTATGTCAGTTTTTTAAAAAGTGTAACTAGGAAAATCCAAATATTTTACATAAATATGTTTAGTTTGTATGTTTGTATGTTATTCCATGATTATATATACAGATCTACCTTACTGTGTTTTTAAATGGGTGTAAAGCATTCTTGTAGCATGACTGTACCATGATTTTACTGAACAGTTCTGGTGATGAATATTTAGGTTTCCTCAAATATTTGGCTATTTTGAATAATGCTGCTTTGAACATCCTTATAAATATATCCATGTCCATTTATATAGGAGGTACTTCTGCAGGATAAGTTTTCCAGCAGTGATATTACTGGGTCAAAGGATATCCTAAATTACTCTCCACAAAATATTGTGCTAACTCTCTGAGGGTGCTTGTTTCTGACATCTAGACTGACCCAGATTATCATGTCATCTTAATTTTTACCATTTTGATAGGGGAGAAAAAGTATCTTTCTAGTATGTGTTTTCATGATTTTGGTAATGTTCGGTATCTTAAAATTTTTTTTTTGTGTTTAAAGTCACAGTGCAAAGAATGTTGGGATACGGCCTCTATAGAGCAAATAGGAATTGGTAGAGCGGTACTTCCTGTTTCTTAGTGAAACTCTCTTATTTCTGTAGATATGACGTGTTCACTAGTGCCCTCTGAACAATCTCCTGGTACTTCTCTCTTGCCTAAAGACAGTGCCCCATTTTCTTGGGGTTCCTTGGATGATGATGGATTGGATGACTCCTTGCTGGAGCTGTCTGATGGAGAAGATGATGATGGCCATATCAGTCTCACAGAGGAAGAGATTCAGGAACTCCTAAAGGATGATGATCTAGCAAATGAACATTATTCTTGGGGTGGAGGGTTGTGTAAAGATGACAGCAGGCATATTGGGAAGGGAGGGAGAGGGAATCAAATTCTACTTGATACTCCCCAAGAGAAAAACTCACTGTACAGCACAGGACCAGTAGATCAGACCCCTGGTCTCTTCAAACTACCTCAACTAACTTCCTCAGTTGGTCATGGACCAATTCCTACTAAACCATTAAACAGACACTTTGCACTAGAAAAGAATCTTATAAAAGTAACAGTTGTTGCACCATTTGATCCAACAGTTTGTGATGCTGTGCTTGATAAAGACAAGACTGATTCATCCAAAGATAATGAAAGGCCCTCCTCCCTTGGAGAAGAGATGAGAGAAGATGGTCTTAGCCCAAATGAGAGCAAACTTTGCACTGAATCTGAAGGGATCAGCTCCAGTAATTCTGCCAGGGACAGATCCCTGACCCCTTCTTCAAACAATAACTTTCAGCACACTGTCTCTGATAAAAATATGTCTGACAGTAAGAAACCTACACCTGTATTCTCCCAAATCTCAGACCATTCAGAGACTCCTTCTAATATGGAGTCATCCTGGAGAAATGTATCACATAAATCAAGTTGTGAAATGAGGTTTCCAGTTGTTTCCAGTTCATCAAACAGAGTAAGTATGTGTTTTCAAGGCAAGGAGAAAAATAAAATAATTTTCATTCCAAAGCGCTGTAGCAGAGATTTGTGTTCAGTTTGAGGCTTGAATGCTGACTAGCAACTAGCACTGTGACCCAAGACAAAGTATTTAGCCCCCTTGTTCCTTTGCAGTTCTTACCTATAAATTGTAGTTAGTAGCACTTAGGTTAATAGGGATTAATGAAATATTGTATTTACGGTAATGTACATAATAGTAACTTACCATTTATTGAATAATTGCTAAGGTAATTTTACTGTTGCTTTGGGTTTCAGCCTAAGTTTCAGTCTTTGGTTGTCAAACTCTATTACATTCAGCACCAGCTCTGAGCCAGCCTTTGAAGAACCGAAAAATCTTCGGCAATTTACCTAACCTTTTTGACCCTTGATTCCCTACCTGTCAAATGGGTATAATAATCTCTACTACAGAGGGTTTTTTTTCCCCCTTAAGATTATAGTCATCATCTCATTTAAAGCACCTACTGTAGTACCTTGTAGCTAGGGTTCAAGGATATCCCTGTGACCTTCAAGAATATTTCCATAAATAGTGTTTTCAGTTATTTTCTTATAACTAAGGGCCATCTTTCCTTCTGCTCTGAAAAAAAAGCAGGATGTTCTTGATAAGGATTCTGGGAAGCTGAAAGTCCACGAGAGAAGACTAGGCAAAGTCATTCCTGTTCTGCAAGCCAAAACAAGGTAATAGTGTAATAAAGTACTTTGGTTTCTCTTGGTTCTCTTACAGTTTCTTCCCCTGCCTCAGTTTCCTCTTAGCGTGTAGGGGAAAAAACCTACATCAAAGTAAACACATTTGAATTTTAGAGGCCACCAATAACTAGCTGTGTGTCCTTGCAGAAGTCAGTCTCTGTTTCTTTGTCAGTTAAATGAGGCTGATGTCTTCTCTGCTGCCATATAGGGTTGTTTTGAAGAAGAATAAATACATTAGTGAAAGCACTGTGTAAGTATTAAGGTTTCTTTTTCTCTGTATGGGGAAATCTATTCATAGATATGATAAGTTAGAATAATTTTTAAAAACATGTTAAAATTTAACTCGAAAATCGATTTTTCATCTCTCACAACTTGCTTACAACTGTTCTTAGGGAAAATGCTAGTAGAGGCTGCAGATTTGGGTCATCTTCATTCTGTTCGCTTGTTGCCAGGAGATGGCAGTGTCTCTACATGGACTTTTTCAATTAACAAAGCTGTATTTTAGGTTGAGTCAGATGGACTTTACAATGAGATTCTTAAAGATTTGATTACACAGATAATCTGCTTTAAAAAAATTACAAAGAAGGCTAAAGTCCCCTTTGACTACCACTCTTAATCCCAGTTTTCTGGGGTTTTTTGTTTTGTTTGCATAATCAAAGAAACTGTGAATTGCATATAATGGAAATTATACTAAAGAACACAAGTCACTTTACATCGAATGGTAATGAAGTAATGATCTTAGTATTCTCAGTGGTTCCTCAGTACAGTATAATCAGCATGAACAAGGGCCAGAAATTGTTCTTGCCAAGGTCACAAATGTTCCAGTTGCTAGATCCAGCTGGTTCTTAGTCTTTATCTCATTCAGTTTTTCTGTGGCTCTGAAATTATTTCCTCGCCAACCTTGAATTATAACCTTGAAGCATTCGACAAAGACTCTCGGTAGTCTTTACTATGCCTTATTAACAGGAGGTTGTATCTATTCCTTTCTCTGTCAACTCCATACTTGATTTCAGTTTCATACTAAGTGAAACTATCTTGTGTCACTGGATCTTAAAATATTGCTTCTGAAATTTAGTACTAACTGATGAGCATTATATGACTTCTCCCTACAAAGCACTGTACTCATGGTTCTAATGGATTGTTTTTCCTTATTCTGATTTGCTTTGTTCAAGGACTAATGTACTGCCAGAGTTTTCACAATCAAATCTGGAACAGCAGAAGGAAATTTACCTAAGGAGTGTCATTGCTCATATAGAAGGCCCAGAGGACTCTAATCAAGGTAACATGGTAACCAAAGAATGGCATGTAAAAGATGGAATGGAACTTTTTTTTCCTCAGTGTCATTAGCCTAAAGTAGGAGATTATATTGTGTTTTCTTAGACTGATGAGAAAGAAAACTTCCTTACACAACGATTTTCATAGCAAGAGATTCCCAAGAGTAGTTTGACTAGGCAGCATTAAAGAATGGGTCTAAGGACACTCCTAATGGTACATGAAGAGACTTCCCCTTGTTTGAGGATTGTAAACAGACCTGTACTTTTCAGCTAGGGAGTTTTGTCTAAAAAATGAAGTGGATGACCTGGTGCTTCTCAGTAATAATTGTTTTTTCTTTATTTAGAATTATCTCCCTTATTGCCGTCAACATTTAAATGTAAAAAGGGGCAGCGTTTGAGCTCTGGGCTGCGAATCTGCTGGTTCGATCCCCGGCCGCAGACCTCTCCTGCCACGCCCCGCTGCTCCCCTCAGCAGCGTACTTTGTCAGTCTGCCTGTTCTGCTCCCCGCTTTGGCTCTGGTGAATTCTTTCACCCTCCCGTGCTTCTAGCTGTACCCAGTGCTTGTATAAATAAATAAATAAGTTTAAAAAAAAAAAGGTAAAAAAAAGGCATTTCAAATATACTTTTGCATCTTGGCATCTGAATAAAGCCCATGAAAAGCTTCGATTGCCTTCCAGATCTTCAAGCTGAGTTCTTCCTAGTCATTAAAAGTTATTGTAAACCAAAATGGCTAAATCTTTCTCTGCCCTCAAGAGACTATAGTTGTTAACATTCATTCTGAACTATTAGCTGATGGAAAACTAAAGAAAAACTTGTGAACAGCAACTGAAGGTACAGAAGATAGAGCACCACTGATAAAAGAATTCCTTCTCATAAAGATCGCATCTATATTCTGTCATCTTTAGATTCTTTCTCTCATCAAACCTTACTCAAGTGCTTTCAGTGGTGCTAGGTTTGAAGATTAGTGATTGGAAACGTAAGGAGGAGTAGGGTAAGTTCTTAGCACTCTTGGAATTGATATTCTGTAGAAGTAAAAGATAATTACACTGCAGTATTGATCAGTGTTCTAACAGAATTATATATAAAGTGCAGTACGAAGGAGCCCTTCTGTTTGTGTTTGGGGATAATGGAAGATGTGAAAGAAGGATGCCCTAGGTAAGCTCCACAGAAAAGACAATTAGTTCATTTATTCTCAGATCTATTATAAATCATGATAGGGTTTTAGTAGAAGTTTAGACCAAAGATTGGAGGAGATGCAACCTTTCTTTGATAAACCTTGAATTATTTCGTAGGTTTTTCTTACTTGTTTTTTTTTTTTTTTTAATTTCAGATCTTTTTTTTTTCTTTTTAAGATTTTATTATTTATTTATACAAGAACTGGGGTACAGGTCAGAGGTGCGGGAGGGTGAGAGAATTCACCAGAGACAGTGGAGAGCAGAACAGGCAGACAGACTGAAGACACTGCTGAGGGGAGCAATGGAGAGGCAGGAGAGGTCTGCCACGCCATGTGGGTTTCTCCCTGGCTGGCTGGGAATCGAACCCACGCTGCAGAAGCTGTGGACAGCTTCACAGCGCAGCACTCAACCCGCTGCGCCTACGGGGAGGCCCTTGTTTTTATAAGGCTATGAGTGAAGGGTTTAGAACTCTGAGACATTAGCCAGAAGAATTTATTATTCCAGGTACTTTTATTTATTTTATTTTTTAAAAGATTTATTTATTTATGCATACAAGAGCTGGGGTATGTGCCAGAGGTTCGGGGGGTGGGGCGAGAGGATTCACCAGAGACAGAGTGGGGAACAGAACAGGCAGATTGACTGAAATACACTGCTGAGAGGAGCAGCGGGCAAGACAGGAGAGGTCTATGGTGCCATGTATGTTGCTCCCTGACTGGCTAGGGATCTAATTCGTGCTGCAGAGGCAGAGGACTGCTTCATAGTGCAGTACTTAACCCCTTGCACCACCAGGGAGGCCCCAGGTCCTTTTATTATTTAATTAATCATTTTATTAAGGAAACAAATACTAGTAGTACTGATTGCTCGGCCTTCTGCCTATAAGATCTCTTTGCTTGAACTATTTTATTTTTTTTTTAATTTTTTTTTTGAAAGATTTATTTATGCATATAAAAGCTGGGGTACAGGCCAGAGGTGCGGGAGGTAGAGGGTGGTGAGAGGATTCACCAGAGACAGAGTAGGGAACAGAACAGGTGGATCCTGCCGCGGACCAGTACAGCAGTAGACAGTAGACGATGAGGCCACCTCAGGGTTGAGAGAAGCTTGCAGGGTGGTCAGGGCGTCGGCGAAAGAAATGACAAACAGACACACTTCAAGAGTGAAAATCTGAGTGTAATTTTCTTTAAGTTTGTGACCAGTATATATATGTTTTCCAAAAGCACAGGAATGAATATCAATGAAATTAGCTTGCTCATGGGCTCAGTCAATCATCATCAGGGAGGTGATCTACATAACAAGCAATGAGCATTATAGAAGAAGGAAGGAAGTTTAGAAAGACAAATAAGGGATTAAAGTTGTAGTTCTAGAAAGACGGGATAAGATTTTTAGCATTCTTGTAGTGGTTCTTGGTGGTCGTTATCTTTTGATAAGCTTCTGCCTTTTCAGGGAACTTCCGCTGCACTTCCTCTGCTTCAGGCTGTTCTCCCCCCTGCGCACTGGTTGCCCAGCCAGATCTAGGGACCATGGCGAAAGCCATTCCTAAAGATCACTGCGGGGGGGAGGTGCAGCAGGTAGGGTTTTGCTGTTCTTCCCCTGCGCACTGGTTGCCCAGCCAGACCTAGGGCCGGTTAGCCCTAAAGGTCACTGCAGGGGAAGGTGCAGCAGATCCACTGAAATACACTGCTGAGGGGAGCAGCGGGCAAGACAGGAGAGGTCTTCTGTGCCATGTGGGTCAGCTCCCTGGCCAGGGATTGAACTCATGCTGCCATGGCTATGGCTAGCTTCATAGTGCGGACACTCAACCCCTTGTACCACCAGGGAGGCATCTGATGGATCTTGACACCTGTCATTGGTGGGACAGATTAAAAGAACTCTGTCGGGCCTCCCTGTTGGTGCAGGTGTATGAGTGCAGCGCTGTGAGGCTGTCCGCAGCCTCTGCAGTGCTGGTTCGATCCCCGCTGGCCGCGGAGATGCCCACATGGTGCGGCAGACCTCTCCTGTCTTACCTGCTGCTCCCCTCAGCATTGTGTTTCTGTCAGTCTGCCTGTTCTGTTCCCTGCTCTGTCTCCGGTGAATCCTCTCACCCTTCCGTGCATCTGGCCTGTACCCTGGTTCTTGTATGAATAAAAATAAATTAAAAAAAAAATAAAAAATAGGGCCTCTCTGGTGGCGCAGGGGGTTAAACACTGCACTATGAGGCAATACACAGCCTTTGCGGCACAAGGTCGATCCCCAACTGACCAGGGAGAAACCCACATGGCACAGCAGACCTCTCCTGTCTCGCCCGCTGCTCCCCTCAGCAGTGTATTTCACTCAGTCCGCCTGTTCTGTTCTCCGCTCTGTCTCTGGTGGGTCCTCTCAACCCCCGCATCTCTGGCCTGTACCCCAGCTCTTGTATGTGTGAATAAATAAATCTTTAAAAAAAAAAAATAAAAGAACTGTCTGTATTCAACCTCTGTGGAAGAGACTTGATCATTGCTTTTCTTTTTCAAAGATTTATTTATTTAGGGCCTCCCTGGTGGCGAAAGAGGTTAAGATGCAACCTATGAAGCTGTCTGCAGCCGCTGCAGCACAAGTTCAATCCCTTTCCAGGGAGCTCCCCACATGGTGCAGCAGACCTCTCCTGACTTGCCCTGTGCTCCCCTCAGCAGTATATTTCAGTCAATCTGGCTGTTCTGTTCCCCATTCTGTCTCTGATGAATCCTCTCACCCCTCCCCACACTTTGGCCTGTACCCTGGCTCTTGTATGCATAGATAAATAAATCTTTTAAAAAAAAATTTCTTCTGTATATCCACAGTGGCTGCGGACAGCTCTTTAAAAAAAAAAAAAGATTTATTTATGCATAAATAAATAAAGAGCCAGGGTGCAGGCCAGAGATGTGGGAGGTGAGAGGATTCACCAGAGACAGAGTGGGGAACAGAACAGGCAGATTGACTGAAATACTCTGCTGAGGGGAGCAGCAGGTGAGTCAGGAGAGGTCTGCTGTGCCCTGTGGGTCATCTCCCTGCGTAGGGATCACACTCATACTACAGTGGCTGTGGATTGCTTCATTGTGCTGTATCTCAAACCCTTGTGCCACCAGGGAGTCCCCAGTCATTGCTTTTCTTTACCCCCATGAGGTAATGTCCTTTTGTTTTTGTTTTTTTTTTTTAATTTATTTATTTTTATACAAGAACTGGGGTACAGGCCAGAGATGCAGGGGGTGAGAGGAGTCACCGGAGACAGAGTGGGGAACAGAACAGGCAGACGGGACGAAGTACACTGCTGAGGGGAGCAGCGGGCGAGACAGGAGAGGTCTGTCCCGCCATGTGGGTTTCTCCCTGGCCGGCTGGGAATTGAACTCATGCTGCAGTGGCTGCGGATTACCTCACAGGTTGCGTCTTAACCCCTGCGCCACCAGGGAGGCCCTAATGTCCTTTTTTATATACATTTTTAAAAAAGATTTATTTTACTTATTTATGCATACAAGAGCTGGGGTGTAGGCCAGAGGTGCAGGGGGTGAGAGGATTCACCAGAGACAGAGTGGGAGCAGAACAGGTGGATCTACTGAGCTACACTGCTGAGGGGAGCAGTGGGCAAGACAGATCTGCTGCACCATGTGGGTAGCTCCCTGGCTGGGATCGAACTCCTGCAGCAGTGGCTGTGGAAGCTTCATAGTGCTGAGACTTAACCCCTTGCGCCACCAGGGAGGCCCAAAATACAGAGACTTTATATGCTATATTCAGTCATGCTCTTCATCTCTGTATATGAATTACAGAATATACAAAAAGCAAAAAGCATAGTGTCTTCTATCCTTCTGTGATGTTTAATACTATTTCAACTTGAAAATTATAA